GAGGAGCGACGGAAAAGATTAACTGCTTCAAATTTTGGACGAATTTGTAGACTTCGGGAATCTACTAATAAAAATAAAGTTGCCATGGATATATTAAAAGGTACATTTTCTGGCAATAAAAATACTAAGTATGGTATAGAAAATGAAGACAGAGCTTTAAGGGAGTTGAGTGAATCTTTAGATAGTGAAATATCCAACTCAGGAATATTCATAGATTCCGAACATTCATTTTTGGCTGCAACTCCAGATGGCTTAATCGGTAAAAACCTTTTGGTGGAAGTCAAATGTCCTCCTTCAGCGAAGAATTATACACCAGAAGAGGCTATTGATAAAAAAAATTTAAAATATATGGAAAAAGTTAACGGTAACTATAGGTTAAAAAAAAACACATCCATACTATTATCAAGTGCAGGGTCAACTTCATGTGAGTAAAAGAAAATTTTGTTATTTTACTATATGGACACCAAGAGGAATTCTTTATCAAAGAATTGAAAGAGACCAGAACCTTTGGAGGGAAATGTTGTCAAAATTAACGAACTTTTATTTCGAACATTATTTAACAATATTATTGGAAGAAATTGTAAATAATGAATAATTTATTGTAATAAAATGTACTATAATTAAATATTATTATAATTTTTAGTGTTTGTACGAATAAATCTGTAAAGCATGTAATTTATTTATAGCCGTAGTAAACTCGCATGTAATAGCTTACATACATGCTCAAATAAGCTATTACTACTACAATGATAGTGTTCATAAAGTATTCTGTAACCTAATATGTTTATTATCTTAACACTTTACATACGGGTTGCATACAATATGTTTTCTACTAACGTACACATTATCCACTATTATTAGAAATTTAAAAGTTCCTTTTTTTCACTAGTGCGTAAATCACTTTACGCACTAGTGAAAAAATTGTCAAATTTTACTTTACGCACTCCATGGAGTGTAAAACTCTTTACGAACTAGTGAAAAAAAAATAAAATTTGACAAAAATTGTACATAGCAACAAAATATAACGTTTTATTTTATATTACCATTTATATGCTATATCCTTCTAAGACAAATAAGTAAATTATTTTTGCTTTTATCTATTTAGTCCCCAACAAATTATCAACAGTTTTTTATTTTAATTATAATTTTCTCTAAATGTCATCGAATTAATTAAAAGTAAACAAACCGTGGATGTCGATTTTGGTAAAAGTAAATAGTCTGTGGCTGTGTGGATTAGAAGAACTGTCAATCTCTAAACTTTTATTAGTATATCATCACAGAACACGACAAAAGAATAAGTTGAAGATTAATTTCTAAAGCCAAATCACTATGTACTTTACGCACTAGTGAAAAAAGTAACTTTTATATTTCTAATATTAGTAGATAATGTGTACGGTAGTAGAAAAAATATTGTATGCAACTCGTGTGTAAATTCCCTTTCTTGACTCATGTGATTGTCGCACAAGCCGTAGGTGAGTGCGACAACATTCACATTCGTCAAAAAAGGGTAACTTTATACACTTGTTGCATAAATAAATATTTTTTGTATCAAAGGAACTAAAACATGTAATTCATTCCTTTATTTTAGGGACTAAAGTGTTACACTGTACGTGGCAAGGATTTTTTTGTTTGCCTTTTTTGGATTAACAAAATATTATTTTAATGATTTAAAAATAAACTGTCAGTATCAATAATTATCTGTACCTAAACATATACAAAGTGAAATCATACGACGCACCAAGAAAGCACCAAATTTTTAAACTTTTTTATTCTACGTAAAAAAGTATATAATAAAAATAAACCAGATTAATTTTATTAAAATACTATATGGGCTTATATACATTATATTATATTAATTTTATATGTAAAAATGTGGGTACCTAGTTCACTGCGCATACAAATTTATATTTAAAATAAAGAAAGTTTCAGGTTTAAAATTGAACACCAAGTTTTATAATAATACTCTCCCTAATTCACCCCCTTACGAGTGAATTTCAGGAATATCAGGAATAATATTTTCTTAAAAAAGTGACAATAAAAAGTGTTCCATATGGAGCAGGCTTTTTGCGAGACACTGTATATATATATATATATATATATATATATATATATATATATATATATATATATTTAGAGAGCAATCCATAATATATGAAAAAAATAATTAAAAAAAAATATATTCACATAAATGTGATTTACCTTTTAGAATATCGTATATATACAGCAAAGTTTACTAATCTTTATAAAAAAGATTTAAATTCTACAAAAGCTTTCTTAAATTTTTTAACATTCACAAATGTTTTAATTTAAATGTAGTAACATGCACGTGTGAGGTACAAAATACCTTAATCCGTCTATAATTATCGATTTTTAACAAGATGGAGACCGGACATCGTGGAAGAAAGACAGCGAATTTAGTAAAGAATTTTAACTCGATTAAAAAGCGTTGTTTCTTTATCCATTTTCTAAAAAAACTAATAGACCTTTTTGAAATCGGTTTTCGGTGATTTTCCTTCTGATTTATTACCTTGGAAAGTGGTAGATTTATATAAAAAACGAAAAAAGCTGACTTATTATTTTTATGAAATGAAAATTTGTTGTTATTTTCACAGTTTTCAACCGCCCTCTTTTTCCATAAAAAAATTATTACGATGTTGCCAAGCCAGCACTTTTCTAGATATCAACACGTTCTTTATTGTACTTTTTAAATTTTTTTAAAATATTCTTTAGTTTTTTCATAATTTGGCAAAAAGAATAGCATTGAAACTCCTATACCCGAAAAATTGTACGTACGCTCTTAAATGCAAACAATTAATACCGCTACAACAGCATGGTTTTTACGGAGGTCGATCGATAGTTACGAACCTAATACCATTTGTCCAGAATAATCTGGAAGCTATGGATAAACGTAAGCAGGTGGATGCTGTGTACACAGACTTCTCCAAAGCTTTTGATAATGTGCATCATAAAACCTTAGTAAAATTGGAGAATTTTAACAAACAGAATTTTAACAAACAGAAAGTATGTGCGTAACATTCAACAATAAAACTCACCTTTTATACCCATAACCTCACGGGTACCTCAAGGGTCACATCTAGGTCCTTTACTTTTTAGCATATTTACATATGATATAACGACATGCTTTAAAAACTCTCAATGTCTGTTATATGCCGACGATCTAAAACTATTTAAAATTATTGAAAGTAATAAAAAAGACCAAGCTAGACGACATACTCTAAATAACGTCCCACAATAGATCTGGTCGCGTTGGACAAGGACAAATAATGTCCAACTTTAGTTCTTCAGGCAAAGCATTATAGATAGTAATACAGTTGTACAAATGATACCTTCTGAATGTCGTTGTCTGATAGTTAGGAGTCTTAAGTTATCATTCCTTGTGTAATAAGAATGAATGTGAGATTATTTAGTAATACATTTTTTTAGAGCCTCAGACCCATCTTTTACACTTCCAAGCTGATCTTAGGAGAGTAAAGGTTAAGGATGTGTATTTTATTCTCCCGATTAGGATCGGACCGCTATAGGCTTTCCTAACATCTTCAGTCGCACTGGAAGGATTAGGGGTCTGAAGTCTTGAGAAGATTGGGTAGAAGGAATTGTTGTTTTCTTGGAGTAGTTGAAAGTTCTTTCTGGGTACCAAATCTGGACTTTGCTAGAAATGAAGAAGGCCAGCAAGCAACCATTTTTTTACAGATGCTGAGCCATGATTTTTCGTTCGGTGTTTCCATATTATTATAATAAAACAAATTTTATCAAAATAACATTTATTGCTGAAAATTTTTAATCACAATAAAATTTTCAAAGCACAGTGAGATCATATATCTATACAAAAATATATTTTCCATATGGCTAACTCTGTGAAAAGTTTTGTAAAAATCCTTAACTATATTACATTAAGAAATAAATAAAAATTCATATAAGGTACAAACGAATGACTAATTGTTAAATCTCTCCGCTCAAGGCAATAATATATACAGCCAAATTTGTAGTCCTTTGTGATAAAGAATTGCTGAAAAACTATTCGTTCACAAACATGTCTTATAAAGATTTTAGATATCAATTTATACAGGGTCCTGCAACCGTGGTGCAACTATACAGGACGTCCCAAAAAATTATGATCAATCATTTACCTTCCACTCGGTCGTTACAAAAAATATTTTAACTATGTATTATGGAAAATAGAAGACATTTGGAACAACTTTTAGAATTTCTAAATTATAGATCTCTATAAACAGTATTTTTACTTCCGAAAGGTGCTTTCAAATATATTCAAAATAACCATGTGTAAATTGTCGCCTAATACTTCTAAAAATGTCAATTTGTCAATTGGGACCTTCTGTAGAATTTTTACATGACAGTTCTATATCCCTATTATAACCATTTTTTAATGTGTAACTATTATAGAACCCCCAGCTGTGAATGGCCTCACCACATTTGCAAAACCCTGTATACCAAAAACTCTAGGAAATGTTTACAAATATATAATTAGTTTGAGTTTAAAAAACAAAAATTACCAGTTTGAATAAAAATGGCCAACTTGTCGTGGTTTACCAAAATTTATATAATAATAATAATTCTCTCTATATAATTCACCCCCTTACGAGTGAATATGAACCGCAGAAGCAGAGCTCGTACGGGGTATTATTATTATTTGCGATTTACAGATGGTTTGACCAACTGTACCAAACAAATTAAGTAGTGATCGACAAAAAATGTTTTTAAAGTAGGCCTTGGAAAAATTTAAATATGTCGAGCGTACCATTTTTTATTTTTAAGTGTCAGTTTGAATTTAATTTAGAGCCGCGCATAGTTATTATGGATATGATTCGCATCTCTGTTTTTGTTGGTCACGGTCTACTTTAGAAATATTTTTTGTAGATCACTCTTTATATTTTATAATTAACTACATGTTTTTAACGTGTTTATCAGCAATTCTTTAAAACTCCTTCCACTAAAGCTCACTTAATTTTAAGACTAGGTTTTCAGTAGGCCACTTCAGCTCCCCATGGCCTATAAGGTTTCATCCCTTGCGACGTAGGAATGCTTTGACTATAATTCTGATGATGACTGGTAGTAGGAATACTAAAAGCGTTCCCAGGATACTGGTGGGAGCTGTACGCCAACGCAGAAGGAGTCGTTGTAGTTAAAGGTGTTAAAATGGAGGTAGAGGGAGGTAATCTGTTAGTATCAGAAGTAACAACAGGCACTGTAGTTTGAGCACAAGAAGTCGACACATCGAAATGACTCAAATCATGATGCAGATTCTGCGGGGGAACAGGGGCTTGATGATGATTCAAATTGGAAAGTGGTCCGTGATTGGAAGCGGGTGAGGGGGGCAAGGCGTTTATCGGGGGATAAGGTGGTTGGGAACTGGAATAACCCCAAGGTGCTGCTGAGGCTTGCTTTGTGGCTAGCTCTCTTTGAGCTGCGCAGCACTGTAGGTGTGATGTGAGTCTCAATCTCAAAGGATTTTGTACGTCTAGTCCTTCGATCCGTTCTAGATAACGAGCAACTTCTGCTACGCATTCTCTGAAGCCCATACCGTGATAGTCCATGGCGTATTTGTGTGGATCGTAGGCGAAGGAATCCAAACCTGTAAGAAATAACGGTATAAGCATTGTATAAATATAATATATATTTATACAATGGTATAAGTAAAATCGATTTAAAAATTGTAATAATAAAAAAATAGACATTTAAACAAAGCTCTACTCTACTAATTAGAAGATGTAGGTTTGTGTTTCAATTTTTTACTAATTGCTTCAGAGCTGGTTATAATAAAATTAAAGATAAGAGTCCCTATTTAAGACCCTTATGGCACACCTTCAGAAACAACCCCAAATTCTTAGATGAACTAGCCAAAATAAGTAAAATAAGAACACTGGTATAATTACCGTCGTCATACAGAGAACCTTACTCTGAAATATTTAGAGACGACACGTGCAAATACTAACTAAAAAATTATATATATGGCATTTAGTCTCTACACCAGTGCTAAATAGACTACTCGTATATCTGTATAAAGAAACAAAAGCAGAAAAACTAATCATGTTTAAAATAACTGCGTGATGTCTGATGATATGTTAAATGAGATTTCACGAGAGTTTAATTCCAATATAAAATGATTGCACGTGATGCCAGTGAGCATTGCATGTCAACGGACAAGCTTTGAGTTTACAGAGATTTTTAGTTTTATATTTTTTTGTGGTAGTTTGAAATCCGCACACACCTATACGCAATTTTTTTATTATGCTACAAAGACAAAAACATTTAAAACGATGATAATATTTAGATTACCTGCTTTTATTTACTGTTTATGAGCGATATCTGTAGATACTATCAATTATTATTGATACAGTTATTGACAAGTACATCAAGATATTTAACCTTCTGGACCAGTGCATACACAAATGTTTTAGAAGATTTTTCAAACCGGATACGACTATAATAAAAAATAGAAGAAGACCGAATAACTTTAATTGACCAAATTGTAGAAAAAGAAATTAAATATATTACAATAAATGTTGAAATGAACACCCCGATGAAACTGCAAAGTTACAGTCGAACTTAGACTGAAGTATCTGGAACAGGTGTTTCTTGACCAATCCCTAAGAAGATTCTAAATTTCTTCATGAGTTTGAATATACTTATCAAGAATAAATGTAGGGTTATACACAAAAGATGTTGCGCAATGCTGAACGACCCCTCAGTAATCTTCATTTCCATATACACCCCGACGCGATATGAAAGTGAATACGAAACAAGAAAGGAATATATTCTCACAATAAAGATATTTTATTGTTTGCATTTTCTATATTCATAATTCTACTCATATTGTACTAAGTGGTCAATAAACATCTTATATTGTATTATTGTTGCTAGATAATTTCAATCGGTCCATAGTGTAGAGAGTTCGGCAACTATGTTAAGTGGTCTTTCGATTACTTAGTCAAACAATTACTTAAGGTTGGCGTTCGCCCATAGAATTCTGCCGTATATACTTCCTGGAATTGATTTTAATATTGAAAACCGTTTATGAAGTGTGCCTAGGGGTTGTAAAGACTTTTGAAGAAACGGAGTTGTTCTAAAGTACTCGAGAAATGACTTTGACTTTTCGTATCTAGACCACTTATAATCGCATTGACTTACCTAGGAATTTTCTTTAAAAAAAACATATTTACATGTTACAGCCTGTACAACCAACGCAGAAAAATAATTAAACACATCACACTTTAAAATATTGTTTTAGTTTTTTTGAAAGCTTTGTTTAAATTATATAGATTTTTTATGAAAACACAATTATGTGTGGTATATCATGTGACATAGCGGAAAGTTACAAAGTTAAAATGATTTATAAGAATTTTCTTTTTACGATTTTGTAAAAAAAATTGTGAAATTGTCCAGATAAAATTTTCGAGATATGACCAGACGCCGCCCTTATTGAATCAGATTCACTTAACGTTTTTTTGGTATTTCTAGAGACCCTAAACCATATTTACATTAAAATATGCCTATACAAATTACTCGTACTATTGCCCAAACAAGAATATGCAATAAATCTATACTTAAATTAAATATTAATGGAATGTCGTGCTTATGTTTTTGACCCATGTCTATAATTATGTAGGAAAACTAAACTCATATTCCCTATGATTGTCCGATTTACACAACTATGAAACTAATACAGATGTTTTGATAATTTTTAAATCTTTTTAAATATGTTAGAAATTTGTTCAAATAAAGAACAGACACCTATTTATTTAGCAACAAAATTGAAATACTCTGGATTTATTGGTACACGAACATTTTCAACTTTAATAATAATTTAGCCTTCAGTAATTTATGCCCGTCAAAAAATTTCCAAATTTATACCTTATTATATCTCCAGCTGTTTTAATGAAAAAAGATCGTTTACATAAGTATTGAAGAGCACAAGGCCTAAAACTGAGCCTTGAGGAACACCGAATATCACTTTGATAAAATAATAAAATTGTTCATGTAATTTTTTGACTCGTTTTCGCTTTCTGCATCCGTACCATAAGTTTGAAAAGAGAACTATTTTTATTAGGTATGTGACGTGTAGTTTTTGTAAAAAAATCCGTAACCACAATTATTGCAACCTATCCTCACGTGTTCGTGGTATTTTCCTATTTCAAATACCCAAATTCGGGCAGGTTGGGAAAGCAAATAAGTTTTACGGTTTTTGGCCACCAGCCATTCAGGTAGCAGGTGAATATGAAATTAAAGGGTTTATCTACTGTGCGTGGGAATATGCGATGAACCAGCTGTGACACAAACTGAAAACCCATAGACCGTACTGTTCGTATTCGTATTAATATTAGTGTGGTGTTGTTAAATGATATGGTACAGAGTGGGGTGCTCGCTTCGTGGGAACCCTCCGAAAAGATTCGCCGACTTTTACTCGCAACAGGTTTCTCTCCCCACTCTGTAAACTATTCCACAACCCTATTTTAGATACACATCGTTTATCGGCTTTTTATGGCGTTTGTTGACTTTCAGTTTTGATAAAAAAAACGTGTTTTGTTTCCGTTCCTGTATATCTTTTTTTGGAATCCGGAAGGAACTATACAAATGCGGGTGGTAAAACCAATAACGTATTAATTCACTTGGGTGTCACCCATATGTGAGGAAAATAATAATAATCGTTAAAATAGTTTTAAATAAATGAATCTGTCATTTTTGTGACAGATTAATATTTGTAATATGACTTAAGGCTGCGATTACTAAAATAATGGTGGTAAAATAACATACAAAAATATCAACCACTGCGAAGACAAAGATTTGATATTTTACACATTAAATTGTTGAACACTAATTTAACGTAAATAGTTTTTGGTTGTCATTTAAATTTGTTTCACAATTCTGTAACTATAACAAATTATAAACTGTTTATTTAAAAAAATTATATACATTTCCCACAGGAATTTCCCACCTTTCTTTATAATTTTATTGTTTCATTTCTTTTTGTTTATTTTTCCATTCTTTTTTTTTTTTTTTTTACTTTTTAGGTATCTATCGACATTTAATAATATTTAAAAAAATAATGTGTCAAAAGATTGGAAAAAGAGACCTTTAAGAAGAGCTATAACATGATACCCCTTTCTATTTAAAATTTTAGAAGTGATATTTACCACCGCTTAGGGGATGAAACTGCACGGTTACAGATACTTGTGTCCCCCCGTAAATATAAATTAACGTGTTTTTTGTTTTAAAGATATTTTAAAAGTTATTTTGGGTGGCTAGTTTTGAAATGAAATCCCTGTATATTTATTCTATATTCTTCTTATAATTTTTTTATTTTTGTTTAAAATTATAATAATGATTTTGATTGTTGCTAAGTTGCTAAGCTTTTATATTTAAGTTGGTTTTTCTTCTTGTTTCGTGGTCATGAGTAACAATATTAACGCTATTTTGGTTTTTACAGTCATAATCAGTAATTTTAAGAAAAACGTGTTTTTAGGATCTATCTAATACTTGAAATTCTTTATATGGTTGGTCCGAGGGGTACACCTAAACTACTTCATTGAAGAGATCATATATGCAGCCATATTGCATTCAAATATTATTGTCAAAAATACCTACCAATAACTATTTTTTTTACTAGTTCTTTATAATTCTATATAGTTTTATTTAGTTATTTATTTATTTTAAAATAGTTACAATAACTACTAAAAGTGTATGTGGTATATATGAGACAATAATATTGTGCGTGTACTCCTACCAGGAACACTGAATGAAGCTAATGAAAGAATTTCGGCGAACATAATAACAGCAGATAAACTTTTTCAATGTTCCAATAATAATATTTTAAATTCATTTCTGATCTAACTATATTGTAGTCAGACCAGATATTATATTTTTTTAAATATAAATATCTAAGATATTTATTATGAACCTTCTCTACTATTTTCAAAGAAGTTATATATTCAGAAAACAAAAAAGTTGATACGACATCTAATTTAGATGTTATATATTTATATAACGAGTCTACAACAATACCCCTATCCCACGTGACCTGGTAAAATAAGACAGTTTAGTGATTTTTATGACAACTTAAGTAGCAGTTCTGTCAAATAGGTCAGTGATATTGTTTTAGAGTTACTGAATTTAGTCACATGGGATATGGGTATTGTTGAAGACTCTGTATATATAATCCAACCCTGTCTACCCGAAGGTGTAGGGTGCACAATTTTGTATTACTAATTTTAACTACCGTGTATACATTTTTACCACTCCTGTTTGTTTTTTGCCATATTTATTGCTTGCGTCGGATTCATGTCTTAATTAAAAAATCACTGTGACCATACTCTTTGGCAAATGTTACAATCAGATTTTGCAACTTCTTATTTACTTTATTAAACATTTTCGTATATTTACATTTCTTCGACATAAATAATATTCATTTGAGACACTTTTAATATTTTATCTCTTTATTTCTTTTACCTCTTCAAATATTGAGTAATGTTGTAACAAATTTATTTATAGTAATACGTCACACTATGACACAAGTTACTTCAGGTAAGACACAGTGCAGTGTATTTTAAGGGAGTCTAGATGTTACCACTTGGTATGACAGTATTTTCTATGTCTACGAATATCTGTATTATAAAACTAAAATTTGGAAGACGGGGACATTTACATGAAGATAGGGCCCGTCTGGTCAAAAGGATGTTCAATTTCTGATTTATTCATATTTTATATTTTATTCTATTAGCTATTTTCTCTTGGTTTTCTTATTATTCAGATTCCTCTTCAATCTTTCTTCTAAACAAATTTCGTAGAATAATACCAGTAGCTTAAAGTGTAAAGAGTTATTGGAATTTTAGTATCTTACAACAAATAATTGGTTAAAAACTATAGGCCTATTAAGAAATTCTCCATAGTTCATAAATTATTTGTGTTCAATGGTGTTTGAATTCAGGGAGGCTAACTTATTTTTTATTCTAAAATACAGAATGTAAATTAAAATCCGATAATTTAATTATTTATTTAATGCTACCATTCTCATCTATAGCAGTATAATGTACTAAGGATAGATACAGTACAGTGAGTACTCTGTATATCATTTTTTATTTACTCTTTACACGTGTTTTCTTATTTTAGTTATACCTAATAAAAACGCGTTGCCATTGTTGACCTTAGACTTCAGTGTTTAAGGTGAATTAATACTTTAGTAGCAGGGATCAGCGGCATAAAATCTATTGGCGCTGCTAAATTGAAATTTATTTCGCTAATTTTTAAATTCATCTTGTTTACTAAAACTAGATGGAAAAAAGGGAATATCTTGAGCATAGAGTACTCTTAGCTTAGTTCATGTTAGAATTCGTAGGTGTGCCACAAGGGTCCCATCTAGGGCCTCTTCTCTTTAATACCTACATTAATGAGCTTTTAAACGCAGGATAGTTTTGTTTTATATGCTTGATTAAAATAATCTGTTCATAAAAATTAACAAAATCTAATAAATGTTTCAACTTACCTTTGGCGTGTAACATTTTGAGATGGTCGACGGTCATTTGCAAAATTTCTGCTTTTTCGAGCTTTGCCGATCCCTGCTTTTCGAATGCGCTCGGCACCAAACGCTTCAATTCGCTAAGCGACATGTTGATTCGGTCTCTCCTTTTCTTTTCTATAACACCACGTCTCTTTTTCCTGGACAACATTTGACAACTGTCAGGATCTCCTGGACTCGTGCACCTAGAAATCGAAAAATTGCTATTTAGGAAGGTATAAATATGGAAATTTGAATATATAATATAGTTTCAAATTTGTGCTGTTTGATATGTTAATTATTAATCAAAAGATAATTTTTAACCGTTCATATTATAGTTTAGGTTTCTAATATTTAATTGTATCGTTTGTAACATTTATAAATATCCTAGCGATAAAGGTGATACATTAGTGTTCAATATCTCTGCCATTATTATAAAAAATATATTTCCAGAATGGTAGTCAGTGTTAAACTTCATATTTTAAAATTATTTTCGAATATATGAGGGTATTCAATGATTGCAGTCTGGAACAAACTTGTATTTTTTTAAATGATCAGCCGCTATTTTATTTTTTATTTGAATTACCCTCGCTTTTTCCAACAATACCAAATAATATGTAATCAGTTTTATATGAAAATCGTATCGATTTTAATGACCTGTATATATAAACAATTAAAAACCCATTTTTTAGGGTAAATTTTATTCGATGTTAATTAAATTTTATACCGGTTCTTATACCGACTTTTTCAATTCGAAATCAATTTATACAAAGTGATCAAAACTCAATTACATCATTTTATATCACCATTCAAAATTATCCTAGTTATACTTTCATTTGAGTTAAGCATTCCATATAGCTATAGTTTTGGGAGATTTCATTATTTAAATGAAAAAAAGATATTTACAAAAAATAATTTAATTTTAACTGACCACTAGTTGATAGAAAATACAACTGTGTTTGTAGGCAGAACACCGCTACGTCATAACCAATATCTCGAATTTCGAATACATATTATCTATAACTATCAATAAATAAAAAATAAGTAAGTTGTTAGGTATTAAATAATATTTACTATATTCCTATAATATTACCATTCCACTAAACCCTCTGTAGGCGGCGATAACCAATTAATTACTTTGCCAAATGATGACGTAACTGTGTTCTTCTAATTGTAATCGAACCCAAATTAGACTTTTACATTCAGTAAACAAGAAATAAAAATATCAACCACAAACTCCACATAATACTCATTTTATTTTAAATGTTATTTTTGCAGATTTTATTCAATTAGAAAATTTGCTTAAAGTGTCCTTCAATAATATTGATGGAGGCCTAAAAACGGTTTTTGAAAGTCCGATTCACCTCATATTTTTAAGCGTTTCCTAAATAACACTTGAAATACTTCTCTTATTCACGACTAAAGGTCATATTGAAAACGAGATATTTTTAAAAAATAAATTTGCAAACAAGGGCGGCTCCATGGAGATGGCCATGAGCCTCTTATTGAAAAATTATACTAAAAAAACAACGTGTTAAATTCGTTTTATAAAGAATATACTTTATATGTTCCCATTTTTCTTGCAAACTCTAGGTCAAATCGAGCGTTCCTTTGACATTTTAAAGGACTCCGTTAAAATTATTAAGTCTTGAATACATAAGTTTTTGATTAAAAAGAAAAATAAAAGTTTTAAAGAAAGAATGGTTTACAGAATTGACCCCAAAATCATTTTTATTTTTAGTACACTACCATACAGTGCGAATGTAAAGTATTATTCCCCCTACTAACTACTGTACATTGGCTATCTAATTCCATTCGCGAGGCAAAAAATACTTTAAATTTATTTTCAGAATTGTACATATAAAAGCTTATTAGTAAAGAAGATTTTAACGCATATAAAAGGTATTACTCAAACTGCTGCTATCTGAGAAAAAACATATTTACAACAAAAAAATCAATGAATCAGATAATAAAATAAAGGCTATTTGGAACGTTATTAATACGGAACTGGGCAGGTCTAATAAAAACTTGGCTACTTTCAATGGAATTAAAGTTGATGACCAAATTGTAACTTCTCCTAAACAAGCCTGCAATAAATTTAATAATTACTTCAAAACAGCTGCTTCGCAAATTCTATGAGACCTAGATATGGACAATGTAGATATAAATAGAATACAACAACATCTATAGAAGAGCTATCGGAAATAATAAAAAATTTAAAAAACAAGCTGTCTGCAGGTGAAGATGATATTCATAATGTGCTTATTAAAAATGTTGCTTCATATATTCTTGAGCCTTTATGTTACATAATAAATAATTCCTTTCAGAAAGGTGATTTCCTATCAAAACTAAAATCTGCAGTGGTGAGACCTATTCTAAAAAGAGGAGATCCATTCCTTATGGAAAACTATAGACCTATAAGTTCGCTAACCAGCTTCTCAAAAATTTTTGAAATTGCAATGAGTAAACGCCTTACTAAGGTTCTTGCTACGAATGGAATTATTACCTCTACTCAACATGGATTACAAAGAGGAAAATCTACAACTTCAGCAATTTTTTCCTTTGTAGAACGCATTCTACATCACCTAGATAAGGTTGTATTGTGCATGGTGTATTTCTAGACTTGTCAAAAGCCTTTGATTGTGTAAACCACCAATTACTATTAAAAAATTATACGTTATCGGCGTACGTGGAATTGCATATGATTGATTTAAATCATATCTGAATGCAAGGTCTCAAAAAGTCTGTCTGAAAACAAATAGTGGACTCTTTTTCTCAGAACAAGAATCGATACATATGGGTGTACCACAAGGAAGTATCTTAGGTCCTTTGCTATTCCTCCTCTACATTAATGACCTATCAAATGTGATAGACTTGTCTTCTGTAACACTAACAAATTATGCAGATGATACTAACATTTTAATAGCCAGTACCGATTATGAAAGTCTGGAACAAGATACCATGCACATATCATCAATAACGGCAGAGTGGTTTCTAAAAAAAGTTTTAGTATTAAATATGTCCAAAACAAATTGTATCCTGTTTAAACACAGCAGAAATAAGAACGATTATGAAAATGAAAATGCTATAAATCTAAACAACACAGAAATTAATTATGTGAGCTCTGCAAAATTTCTTGGTGTGATAGTAGATGAGAATTTGGGATGGTCTTGTCATGTGGACAATCTTTGTGGTAGGCTTAGTAAGAGTTGCTTTGCTCTGAAAGAATTAGCTAAAATTGTAAACCAAAACATTTTGAGATCTGCCTATTTTGGACACTTTTATTCCATTAAGTGTTACGGAATCATCTTCTGGGGTGGTTCTCACAATTACGAGGTCTTTGTGATACAAAAAAGAGTATTGAGAATATTAACTGGGTTGAACTTTAGAGATTCCTGTCAAGGGTTTTTTTCGACAATTAAATCTGATGACGGTGGTTGGGGCATATGTATATTTTTGTGTAAATTTTGTAATTGAAAATCAGGTTTAGTTCAGATAACATATTTTTGGTCATACACATAATACACGCGGAGTAGATAGTTTTGTAGTACCAGCGCATAAAACCACACTATTTGAAAAAGGATACTATTTTAAATGCCTACAATTTTATAATAGGTTTCCAAGCTATATAAAAAATATTAAAAATGTAGGGCAGATTTAAGTCAACCATTAGAAATATCTTAACTGATATTGAGCCTTACTCACTAGATGATGTTACAATCTTAAATATTTCAAATTCATGTAATAAGTTAGGATTAGAAATAAGATTGGATCCTTTTTAGCTGTTTAGTAGTTTAGTTTTTTCGCCATTTTCTATCTATCAGTATTAATTTTCTGTGGTATGATTGATATAATTATTACCAATTGCAAATTATGGCACTATGGGTTTTGCTAGGTTTTCCTCTAGTCTTGGTAAATACGCCATTCTCACTCGGTAAGTCGACCTAGCTCGCACATTAATAATTAATTATTAATAACAATACTACATCTTGCAGTTGGTATTTTTATATCATCTATTTTAATTTTTAGCTTTATCTTTATGTAATATTTAGTTATGGATATTGACGTATACAACACAATACACTTTGTATATTGTCCCTAGTTCAAATAAAAGAATTTGAATTTTGAATTTATATACCTTTTATTAATTCGTCAATCACGAACCTTTACAAAATTTCATTGGTTCTTAAGTTTATAAACTAAAAACATGTAGGTACCTAATTAAATGAACTACTTCAATTTTAATTTTAACTGCAAGAGTTATTTGAAATAGCAGAAGTTAATAATTATTATTTTTATTATTTTAATCGTCGTGCCTTGCCGTTTCGATGATGGTGGGTGGGATTTTACGGGTTTTCATCACCAGTAAGTCAAATGGCACCATCAATCATCTTTAAGTCGCCCCGCAGCGCCACGGCAAATAATAAGAATAGCCGTTCCTTCCCCGGACAAGCTGATCTTTTGGGGTTAAAAATTCACTCGTAAGGCAGGGAAATTAGAAAGAGTATTATTATTATTGCAATACATTTACGAAATGTTGCTACTGAGTTGGTACTAACATCTCTTTGTATCTCGAATTAGGCTCAAATTAAATAATATTAAAAAATATTACTACGATTGTTTGACAGTTTTATATGACGTGTTTTTGTGACTCGACAACAATATAAAACTTAGGACTTTATTACATTCCTTCTAATATTTGAAAATAACCCACAGATAAAGGCTTAGTTGGGTAAGTTATTTGCATAATACATATACTAAATAGTTTTATACAGATGTATTTTGAAAATTTAAGCAACAATTTTATATTACCGTTTTTTATGGACTTCAATAAATCGGTTAATATAAAGTAAACATTAGAGGTCCCAAAACAGTTCTCTGTGGTACTCCTCAAAAATTAATGGAATTGTTGCCATATTGATGGTATATCAAGTCTATGTAAAAATTACTTTGTATTTTATGTTTGAGTCTTTAAGGAAATTTGTTTATTGTTGCCACCATTCAAAACTGCACTTTGAAAATTTATTTTTTCTTGTCTTGGCAATAATATGAACTGGAATACCAATATAAATATATAATAAATATTGCATATAAAAAATATCACAACAAAAAAAATTATCTGCCTAATTTTTTTGCTTGATTGATTATAGGGAATTGTGCCAAGATTATAACATTTTAAAATTATTTTATATATCTATTACTATAAATGCTTACTTTTTACTAAAATAAACTTTTCAGAATTTGTAAGATCATCAATATTTTTGAAAAGGTTACCACATATGTTGGTAGAAATAATTAATTATTTAAATAAAATTTATGAATATTATAAAAGAAAATAATAACAATTTTTTTTAAATATTTTCAATTTGATTGGTCAATAATTATTAAATAAATATAAAAAAATATTTTAAATGACGAAAATTATACTGTCCCAATAATTTGAATAAAATAAAAATCATTTGAAAAAAAAAACTATAAATTATAAAACAGGCTTTAAATATTTTTGAAATTTTTAATGAATCAACTATTTGTAATTTATTTAATTTAAATTTTATAATCATACTGCTAGTGCATGGTTTCTAGTATTTTTTATTATATTTATATTAATTTTGTTATCAACAAATAGGTTAATACTTCACTTGTGTTTTTAAAAAATGTAACCAAAATTTTACTGTGTGACTGTACACCAGAGTATGGTTTGTTATTTGATGTTAAATAAAAAAAAAAGTTTTTACTGTAATTCATAATTATTGACTACAGTAGGTTTTCAAATCTTTCTTATATTGAACACGAATTTTAACATTTATAATTAATTGAACAACTAACTTTTACATCCTTATTATTTTTCTTCTTTCCCTTATATGTAGTAAATATACTATAATCTTGTATTTAGTTTAGTAAAAATTATTTACTCAGATTTGGGAACACTTCTTTGGGTCTGTCCTGTTTGTGTTGCATGATACAAAATAAAAAAAAATAGTGTGCACTTACTGTTCCTTGGAGGACTCCTCGGAATAAACGTCATCACAGTCACTTTCAGACAACTCTCTTTTGGAACCTCTCGAGACAGGTTGCCAAGACGAAGAAGCACTGTTATTGCCCGAGTAACCCCACTGCAGAGGAGCGTGCTGAGATAAAGAATGTTCCATATTATTAGAAAATCCAAAATAGGTCACGATCACTGGCACTTGCGTTCAAAAGATGAAGATCGGAAATAAGTCGCGTGTCAAACGGCTGTCAGATAGATCCCGCGCGTGTGCTACTGTCGTCCGCAAATGTGGAATGTGTACAGCCCTGTTGATCAACCAACGTTCAGCCACGTTTTTACCCCCACTTTCGCCCCCACCGGTCCACGCGACTTTCTTCGGTCGCCGGTTGGGCCCTTTGATGCACTACTCACCCCGATTTTGTGAACTTCATTCATTCCCTTTGCAGGCGAAGACTTTTTGCTGTGGTGCGGCGTGTGTAATATCGCCCGTTTCCCACATCATCGAAGATATCAAATATTAGCCGAGAGCGCGTGTGAGGGTGGCCGCTCACTTCTTGTCACTCGCGGCGTGTGTGTTAAGGTGTCAGGATTGAGGATGCAAAGTATACAGAAAATATTTAAAATTCAAGATACGTTCTTCTGAAATACATTATCCATGCTTAAATCTAGAAACTTTTTACTCAAATGCGAAATTAAAAAAAAATCCTTCACTTTCAGACTGTCATTTATAATCGCGTTGACCTTAATTTACATTTACATTTAAACGAGAGCCAGCCAATTACAAAAGATCAATAAGTAATTTTGTTTAAATAAAGTTGAAATCTTGAAACCTCAGGTTAGGATTGCCACCTGTCCTTATTTGAAAAAGATAGTCCTTTTTTCAAACAAATTGGCCATACAATTTATATAAATGGAACGATATTTTCAGAAGTGGTGTAGCTCAGTGCTACACTTTCGATGCAAAGGAAAAGACCTATTGATGTAGAACTCCTGACATTATGACGTCGCCTTTGCATCAACCTTGTTACCTGAACATTGGGATAGGTAGCTTTGATGTAATGGTGACGGACGAGGGGACTTTTGGGAACAGCTATCTGAGTTTGGTATACACATGATATGTCATCTAATTTATGCAATAAATAGCTTCAACAAATGACTTCTAGAGCTACTGTTGGATATTTACTAGAGTATATTTAGGGTCTGATAATACTTTGCTAGCACAATCACCTAGCTAGCTCAAAAGGTTTAACTCTCTTGTCAGGTTGGTGCTGTCAAAAAACTGGATTGCCTCAATGTTCATTGAGCCGTTATTTGTGACACCTAGCGATTCTGGTCCACAGTGTCCTTCTGAAAGCGGATTTTTGCCTATCTTTGCAAATGTAGCTATTGTGTTCTAGTTGAGATATACAGATTTACAAAATGGGACTCAAGACGCTTCCCTGTGGTATTCCTGCTTTGATTTGTTTCAATTCGTCTTGTTCTACTTCAATGTCCAGTTATTCTAAAACTGACCTTGAAAGAAATTCGTCTCTACATTTAAGATTTCAAATTTTCTATCTTGCTTTGCTCGAATGTTAAAGTCATAGAGAGAAATGGTATAAATGAATTAACTTTGGTAACACCGAACCTTCAACCAATATAGATCGCTTAGTAACTTTATTGGACATATCATTTACCCCTGTTTCAGAGTTAAAATTTAGAATTTCTCTTTTAAATTTCAGACTTATTTTTCTTCTGGGATTCCGCAGGGTTGCAATTTCGGTCTACTTCTGTTATTATTATTTATTATTTTATTTATTTATTAATGATGTATACTTCACCTATAGTTAATTCATAAGAAGTTACACAGCATATCCACAATAATTAGAGATTCTGGTTTTATCATCAGGAATTGAGGAAATAGAGTAGGCAAGTATAATCCTGCAGCCTTTAAGTATATTTAAAGGCAATTTTATGTTCAACGTAGATGGTGTTTACCCTGACAGAGGAGTAAATAACAAAGACTTATGTAGTAGTGCTATGAAAGGTTAAAAAGCTGAAATCTGTGCAATATTATCTTCTGTTTTCCATTACATTTCATTGTTTACTGACAAATGAATAGAATAATTGAAAATAGTAAAGAAATATAAAAAATAAAAAACCTTTTTGTGGATCAATTTTTCTAAGAAATTCATTCAGAAATCTCTGCGGCGTTCAGCCAATTATGATATTAGTGGGTGGTTACAGTACCAGCACCTTTTTACCTGGTGTCGGGTGTTGGGTCTTCACGTAGAATAAAAACAGTTTGTTGGTAGCATAATAATAATGATAATGATCGTTCTATAGAAATATGTTTTACGAAGATGATGTACCGTTAAGTATATAATAACCGTAATAGGAATATTTTTTTGGGGGAGGGTGCATCTTCAATAGATACGCGGAAATGTTTTAGTGGCTAACGGGATATTGAATTGAAAGAAAAAGTACAGCTTGGTTACGGTAAAATTCACTTTCTGTTGGGGAGGTTCTTCGTACTTCCTAGTTTTTTACTGTAAATTGCGGGGCTTCTGTCCAAAACTCATTTTTTTTGCCAAATTAAACTAAATATGGAATTTTATATAATCTAACATAATAAATATAATAACATTATAATAAACACTTGGATGCAAAATTAATTCACTACCTACTTTATCAAATTTAAATAGAGGTGCACATGTACTATTGATAGTCACATTGCACATTTCTTTACTCAATTCTAATCAATATCTACACTAAACTAAAATTGTAGTTTGTGCAACAAGAATTGATATGATGGCCATATTAAACACGACGCCGTAGGCGGAGTGCTTTATCATGTAAGTGCGATACGGACAATCCACTCGAGTTGTACAGTATATTTTTTCTACGACCCACTAACAAAATCTACAAAATTAATAAACTAGACAAAATATAGACGATTATCTTGTGGAGTACTATTATTTATCGATTCTTCATTTTTAATTATATCTAATCTCAATAACTAAAAAATATACTAACAATTAGTTTGACAGAATTGTTACTTATTTAAAATTAAAAAAAAATAGTAGTCTGGTTACCAAATATGAACTGTGATTGGTGGATTTGATATTTGTGCAGTTTTCTTATTAGGTAGAATGGATATGAAATATATTCGTTCAGTTGCTAATTAAAAAAATTAAAAACATTTATGTTGACACATTGTTTTTATTCCGTGGAGGAATATATCGATCGGTGTAAACTTTCATAGTTCTTAAACCTTCTACTCTATTTTGTTTTCTCTTCTCTTTTATATAGACAGGTTGTAACTTTTATAATAATTAGCAGAATTAAATGAAATTTAGAAGGGTGCTACAATGACATGTTTGCTATCTAATGAGCGTATTTTCGAATATCAAGAACTTCCGGTCATACCGGAAGTGACCATGAAGTTTGTTATTTCAAATAGGTCACACTGTATATTTCAACAATTCTGAATTCTCCAATCAATTCTACACATTTTTTATGTACTATGTCCTATACCTATCTCTAACCATTTCTGATAATTTGGAGGTTACATTTATTAAGTATCTTGACTGAAAATGAAAATAGTACAATTTAATAAATTTTACGGACATTTTATAACAAAAAAATCTAACATTAGAAATTATATGAACATTTGAAGTGCCTTCTTTCTGTCTCAAGAAAAGCCTGAAACTTCTTTAGTAGTTTCCTCGTTACACATTGTGTTTATGTATGTTCTGTGCTACCCATCTAGATATATCTAGTGGGCTTTGTTTTGTCAAACTTTCGATGTCATTTTGCATCGCTGTTGACAAGGTTGACAAGTTTGCAATTTATATTTCTTGTGTAAGTTATCCTTTTTGAGGATCCTACGTTTTTGGAGAAAATCTTATGGGGTGACGAATCAAAGTTTTACTACAATGGAATGGTAAATCGCCACAATTCTCACTACTGGTCAGTAGAAAATCCACATTGGGTCAGAGAAACTCGTTTCCAAACAGTGTGGGGCATCAATGTTTGGTGCGGCTATTTAACGGGTGTCTAATAGGTCCCTATTTTTTTGATGGCACGTTAAATGGGGTAAGGTATTTATATTTTCTTCAAAACTGTCTTCTCCGGCTGTTAGAAGACATTTCGCTTAGCGACCGCGCAACAATGTTCTGGCAACAGGACGGTGCCCCACCACACAATCATAGAATTGTCACAAATTACCTGGATATGAGATTTCCCAATAAATGGATTGGAAACAAAGGACCTATAAGGTGGCCGGCGCGTTCCCCTGATTTGACCCCTTTAGATTTTTTTAAGGGGCCATCTCAAAAACATGGTCTATACAACCCAACCAACTGATTTAAATGATCTTAAAAATAAAATAAGAGGAGCATGCCATAGTATTACTCCCGAGATGATAAGAGCATAGTGTACAAAGGAACTCCTAAAACGATTTCAATCTTGTGTTGAAGAGGACGGAAGACAGTTCGAAAATTTATTATAATAATTATGTATTCTCTTTTTATAACAATCAATAAACTGTACTATTTTTACATTTTATTTTCGAACCAAATTATCAGAAATGGTTAGAGATAGGTATACGACATAGTACATGAAAAATGTGTAGAATTGATTGGAGAATTCAGAATTGTTGAAATATACAGTGTGTCTTATTTGAAATAACAAAATTTATGGTCACTTCCGGTATGACCGGAAGTTCTAGATATTGGAAAATATGCTCATCAGATAGCCCACAAGTCATTATAGCTCCGATCTGAATTTCCCGCAAGTGGTCCCAAAATTAAAATATTCGGCCAAAAATACCACAACTGCTGGATTTGTACTAAAACTCATATATAGGAGAGTTTTTAAGATGTCCAATTACGAATATGACCATAAAAATGTCGTTAACAAGATGGCGGCTACAATATGGCCGAATTAAAAATAAATTATTGACTTTTTTAAAAGTAATTAAGTGGACATTTTTAACCGACCTGTAAAATTTAACAAATGAGTGGATTATTAAAAAAAAAAACTAATTTGGTTAAATATAGTGGTATTATATTATAATTATTATTAATGTAATGAACATAAAAAAATAGTATATATTAGAAAATTAACTGCACACAACAATTATTATTCTGAATCACTTCTAACAGTTAACTCGGTTTC